TTCACCTACAATCAAAGAGCATTCTGAACCCACCAATGATAGAATTGGGCCAAATTTCCCACACAGAACCCCCCATGACCAACAGAAAATACTGTGTTTTCTGATGGTCTTTGCTGACCCCTCTGACACTCCCTCGCGAAAGGTCCTGATCTCCAGGTTGAGAAACACTGTTCTAAGTGGACCCACCAGACCACCCAGAAAATATTTTTGAGCTATTTCAACTCATATGTGTCTACAGATGCATGAAAATAACACAAAATGCACCTGTTTGCTTGTGTCTTTTGTCCCAGCTATAAATCTCTGCATTTGTTGTGTCCTAAAGCTGTTTCTGAATTAGTGTGACTCACATCCCAAGGGTTTCCTGGCCAGATTTATTCAGAGGAGGTTGGCTTTTGCCATTCTTTGGGGCTGAGAAAATAGGATTTGCCCAGTGTCACACAGTGGGTTTTCATGGCCAAGTAGGGATATAAACCCTCATCCCTCATAATCAAAACCAGATTACTGGGCTTTGGTTAGCAAACAAGTTTTCTTAACCATCTTATTCCAAAGGAGGTTAGCCATTGCTTTTATCTGAGGTTGAGACCGTGGAGTTGTCTAATGTCAAACCATGTCTTTTTGTGATTCAAACCTTGGACCCCTAAAATCACACCCCAAATAACTGAGCTTTATCTACCAACCAGGTTTCACAGAAGCAGGAGAGCTTTTTTCATTGGGATGTTATATTCTTTTGAAATTTATGCAGGTTTTTCTTAACCTTTATGTGCTTTTAATTGTTTTTGTATTTTCACTGTAATTAAAAAAATGTTTTAGAAGCTGCATTGAGTCCCACTCTAGGAGAAAGGCAGCATACAAATGCAATTTATTGATCAATCAATCATTTAGTCAATGCAGGCTTTATTCTCCTGTCTACCTGTGCAGGTGAAACCCTTATTCCGTACTACACTGGACGCCTGATTGACATTTTGAACACCGAATATGACTCAGATGCTTTCTCCTTGGCCATTCTCCCCGTGTGCCTGGTGTCCCTTGGCAGGTGAGTTTCTTCCTCAGCCTTCATTACCATCAGCGTAGGCTGGGTTTAAGTCACCCTGAAGTAGCTCTGCATTCTTGTGAGCACCTATGAGCAGTACACTCTTCTTGTTGTTCAGCTTAGCATTGGCATTAAGAGACAGATTCCAACTTCAAAGAAGAAATTGAAGACTGACTTTTGAGATTAACCTAAATTTAAAAAAATAATTCTAAAGTTCATTTTAGCTGGAAGTCACAGACGTGTCCTTCCACATGTCTGGCTCTGGCCCAGTTTACCTGTCCGAACGTATCTCCCTCTACGAACCCCCAAGGACCATCTGGAGAGGCCCTGCTCTCAGTCCCACTTCCATCGCAGTCACATTTGGTGGGGACAAGAGACAGGGCCTTCTCTGTGGTGGCCCCTCAGCTGTGGAACTCCCTCACCAATGATCTGCCCCCTCCCTCCTGATATTCCGAAAGAAGCTCAAACCCTGGTTATGGGATCAAGCATTCGCAGAATAGATAATAATGATAATGATAATGATAATGATAATAATAATAATAATAATAATAACAGCAACAACACTTTATTTATTTTCTGTCCTTCTCACCCCAAAAGTGACTCAGGACGGATCACAGTACATATACATGAAATGGCAAACTGTTTTAATGTATTTATAGTTGTTTTTGATGTCTGCTAAGTGTATTTTATGCTTTGTTTTATTGTTCGGCACCATATGTTGCAGCCATCCTGAGTCCCTCTTCAGAGGTGAGAAGGATGGGATAGAAATGCTCCTACTCTCTCTCTCTCTCTCTCTATATATATATATATATATATATACACACACACACACACACACACAACAGGAGCGGTTGCTCCTGACACGACAAAAAAAACAAAAAAACACATACACAAACACACACACACACATACACATAGGTACATACATACACACACACACACACACGTGCCAAGAGAGTGAGTGAGTAGACTGGTAAGCATTTGAGACATCAAAGGTGACAAGAGGTCTTCGTTTTGTGACTTTTGATCCCTTGTAGGCTAGATGACCTCTTGTTCTCAAATTGATTTTATGATTGTATTCAAGGATGTCAACCCCTGAACCACCACAAAATGAGAAAAAATGTACAGAGGAGAAATCCTGTTGGCGATAGAAACTGGGATTAACGCCTTGTCATGCCTGATGTTGTCCAAGGCGATGTCTTGTAGTGCTGTTGATTGTTGTTGTCAATGTTGTTGTTGTGTGCCATCACGTTGTTTCCAACTAATGGTGACCTGAAGGTGATCCTATCATAGGGTTTCTAGGACTGAGAGTGTGGATTTGCACTCCTGAATGAGGAATCGAGCCTTAGTCTCTAGAGTCATAATCCCACAATCTGACACTCAAACTTTCTGTTTGTCTTGTACCAGCTTGTCTAATAATTTTGTGCTGACATGTAGCGACAGACAGGCCTTTGCTCTTGGCCACTTTTTTGTGCGTCAGAAGTGACTTGAGAAACTGCAAGTCATTTCTGATGCAAGAGAATTGGCTGTCTGCAAGGACATTGCCCAAGGAACACCTGGATTTGTTATCATCCTGTGGGAGGCTTCTCTCATGTCCCTGCATGTAAACCTGGAGCTGACAGATGGGAGCTCACCTCATCTCACAGATTCAAATCACCAACCTTCAGGTCAGCAGTTCAGTTGGCACAAGAGTTTAACCCATTGCACCACCGCAGCTTTATAGCCACTGATTTGCCATAGGAGTTCCAGTTTGTATTGGGAGAGAAGAGGAGGAGGAAATATCCTAATGCCAGAAGGCAGCTGTTGCGTCTTTGTCCTCAGTTGGTGAGAATCTTGGAGTTCAGCATCAGGATCCCTCCTCTCAGGGCCACCCAGCTGCCTTTGAATGCAGTGTTCCNTCTATGATTCTTTGGCAAAGTCATTATGGAAGGAGATCCAAGATATTTCCATGCACAAAGTCCACAAAACAACCTGAACTGGTTAAGCTGTGTTGATGAGGGTGTTGTGGTGTAGGCCCATTAAGAAAGCATGCTCAACTTGAACACTCTTCTCATCCACATCACTTGAGGGCTGAAAACAGCCACCTCTCCTGCTATTACTTTGTCCTTAAGAGTGCTCCTTCTGTGAGCCTGTAGAGAAGAGCGTGGACAACACATTGTCCATGGGCCACATGGGGCCCTCTTAACTAGTTTTTGTGGTCTTGAAATTCCTTTGAATCTCTCCCATTTGAAGAATGCTTGTGTGAACCTGGAATTGTTATTGCCTTCTAAGCAGAATAAGTACACATTAGGACACAAACTGTACCATTTGGGCATCTGGAAAGCTAACATGGCAGAGTCAAACAAAATATAGAAGGTAGAACCAAGTTTCCAGGAATTATTGTTGGGCTGTAAGTAGTGCTTTTAATTTTTTTTAATGTGTGTGAGTTTGGAGGCAACTTGGGACTTGATCAATTAGCCATAGGATTCCAACCACCTTTGTGTTTGAGACGGGGATTTTCTGCAGGGTCTAGCATTTTTGTAGCAAGTGTAGGCCACTGTAGGACCTTGCAGGATGGTGGTGGTGGCCCCTGGATTTATCAAAGCGTCCTGTCCCAGTTGTAGATCTGACTTCTCTTTCTCTCTGATGTGTCCATTCTAGTTCTCTGTCTGCTGGCTGCCGTGGGGGGCTGTTCACATTCACTATCTCTCGGATGGTTGTCCGGGTGCGCCGTCTCCTCTTCTCTTCCTTGATGAGGCAGGATGTGGCTTTCTTCCAGGAAGTGAAAACAGGTGAGAAGGCTCAGAATTGAGAGACACTCCCTCCCAATTGTGACTTTTCTGGATTGCCTTAAATGTCTCTGTTTGGAGTTTTAGGGCAGTTCTCGTACTGTGTTTTTGAAGCCCCAGACCAGTAGGTACAGAATGAAGGGAAATAGCAGGTAGCCCCTTTGGTTGGCATCCCCAAAACACTTCTCTTCCCAGTTCAACAGTCTTTCACAAGTGGCAATGTGCTTGCTACCAGAAAATCCTGTTTCCCCATCATATTCCCATCTTGCCAATGCTGCCTTGTTTTTCTCCAGGGGACTTGACCTCCCGCCTCTCCAAGGACACAACCATGATGAGCTACTCGGTACCCCTCAATGCCAACGTCTTGCTCCGCAGCCTTATCAAGGTAGTCGGGCTCTACGGGTTCATGCTCAGTGTCTCCTGTCGCCTGACCTTGCTGTCACTCATCGAGACACCGATTATGCTGGCGACACAGAAGTTCTATGACAGACGTCACCAGGTATGGCCAGGATGTGCGTGTGCTTCCATACACATGTGTGTCCTCCTTTTGAAATCACCATCACAAGTTGTGCATGTTCAGCCTGCTGATGAGAAGTCTGTGGGTGACATGACCGCCCTCTTTAAATACCTCAAGGGCTTCCGGAGAGAGGAGGGTGTGCTTTGCTCCCTGCTGTCCCAGAGGGTAGGACCAGGTGTAATAGATTGAAAATACAGGAGGATAGATTGTGATCGAATATTGGAAGGAATGTCTTGACAGTAAGAACAGTTTGACAGTGGAATCCATTGTCTGAAGACATGATGGGGTCTTCTCTGGGTGTCTTCAAAAACAGCTACTTGGAAGGAGGTTGCTTCAGTTGAAGATCCAGCACTGAGCAGGGAATTTGACTTGATGGGCCACGATGATCCATCCAACTATGATTGTATTAGGTTCTTCTGGGTT